TTGTATACCACCTTGCAGCTGTTTATTTATATACAGATTTATTTTATTTTACGAAGTCAGGAGCATACCCAGAGCATAGCTTTTCCCTTCTTTTTTATTGCACAAGTAATGCAAACAGAACACATAAAAACAAAATCCCTTGTAAGTCTACTGCTCACAATTAATCACTGCTAATCTTTAATATCATACTTCATTTTTTTCAAAACTAGAAGTTTGGGATCACGCTGAACATGTCACTCAGTAACTCCCTGTGAATTTCTAATATATCTCCGTGTCGATAATTGAAATTCTACACCATCATTTTCGTGGCTGTAGACTCGGTCATCATGTGGGGGGGTTCAACATCATGGGACCAGCCAATCTCCTTTTCTTGGACATTAGGGTATTTCCAATTTTTCATTTTGGTCAGAACTGAATACATGAAGCAAAAGGTTTGCACATACTAGAAGCTGTATTTATCTGAGTCTGATTTTACATTGTTTTTATTCACTCATATTTTAACTATATCAAAATGTTGATCTCAGTTGTCCTTGATGGTATTCTGCGATCATTATTTTGTTTTTATACCTTTTTGTTTTCTCTAAGTGCTTTGCAATGAACAGGTTTTATTTGCATAATCACAACATCATTTCAAGTTATGCCATGCAGAAATTCCAGATGACCACAGGCCTCGTGATGGTCGCTTTTTATGGCTACCTGCAATTCCATCTAGGGAATAGGCCACAATTCCCCGAACCACCCCCTTTCATTGCCTGTTTGGGGTTTTCCCCAACTTTTTCAAGATCGTTGTGCAGGAACCCCACTTCAGACAGCTCCCACCCGCTTGGTACATTCTGCCAAACTGCTTTCCCAAAAGGAGGCTCCAATTTCCACTCCCACCAACAGCGTGTGAGAATACCTGCCCAGCTGCCCTCCACCCAGAGGGTTTTGTCCCGGATGCCAGGATGATGACCCCGGACTCAGAACCGCAGGAGTGGGTTTTAACAAGCCCGGTTCCCAGAACAGAACCTGCAGAGAAAAAGAAAAGCAAGCAGAGGCTCCAATTTCCACTCCCACCAACAGCGTGTGAGAATACCTGCCCAGCTGCCCTCCACCCAGAGGGTTTTGTCCCGGATGCCAGGATGATGACCCCGGACTCAGAACCGCAGGAGTGGGTTTTAACAAGCCAGGTTCCCAGAACAGAACCTGCAGAGAAGAAGAAAAGCAAGCAAGCAGGGAAAAAACTCTCTGCTGGAAAACACACACATACACAGATTAAAATAATATTTGGCACTTACGTCGCACTTTTAAAATTCTTCAAACGCTTTATAAACACTAGCTAATTAATTAAGCCGCCGAAATCTGGCTGCAGTTGGTAGAGAGAACTTAAAAGGGGGTGGGGAGGGCAGCCCTACACAGCTCCAGATTTTATTGTCGCCTGCCCGGGTGTGATTGTGGGCCTCCGACGGCACCACAAGAATAGACCTGCTCCGACACGCACACGCCTGTTCTGCAGCCTCCCCTGCTCACACCACTCCCCTCAGCCGCTGACTCACAGCCCCGCGTGGTGTTATTGATGAAGATAATAATAACTGGCATGGATCACAGGCATCTTCTGTGGGCCAGGCGCAGTCCCAGGCTCCAGGCTTGCCTGTCGCCGGGATAGGCCTGTAGCAGCTCCATTAACAGATAAGGAAAGAGGCTCGGAGAGGGGTTTTCCTGGGAGCAAGGAAAACCCTCCTCCCTTCGTTCATGTGTACCCTCAACTTGTGTTTATTGAGGGCCTGGTGTGTGTCAGACACGGTTGTAGATAGGGGGTGGGAAGAGACCCTTGTGGATCCTACATCTTGTTTGGGGGGACGTCACAAGCCAGAGAAAATCAGGAATAGAATACATCTGATCATAATGGGGACACAAACTCAAGTTTAAGCAGCATCCGTGCTGCAAGCACCCACATCCGACTGTGTCAGGTCCTCCTAGTTACCGGGGTCGGGGAAGGAACAGGGAGGGGTGGGCGGATGGTGCTTCTCCATTTTATGAAGGTGGAGTGGAGGCCCAGGGAGGGCGGGGCCCAGCTGGCTAGGGGGCCCCAGTTCCCACGCCTGCTGGTCCCAGCCTGTGCTGCCCCCAGTGGCATTTCCAGTTCCTCAGTCTCCGTGCTGGAAGGCAGACCCACTGGGATGTACCTGGCTGGATGCTGTTGGCAGCTGCTGGTGCTGCCTCCGGTGTCTCGGGGTCTCTGCCGGCCTCCCCTGTGTGCCTCTCACACACTGGCCCCCAGTGACACCCCAGCCCCTGTCCTCTGTGGACCCGGGGTTCTCCCCTGTACCCGTGAAGGTCTGGCTGCCTTCAGGCTGCCGATCTGAGTCCTGGCTCACCTACCATGGGAATCAGGGCTGGGACAACAGGCAGGGGAGGGACGAGAGGCCTGTCCTGAAGCCCTGGGCTGCCCGCAGTGAGGGCGGATGGAGTCCCTGGGCTCCCTTCCCTCGGACGCCCTGCTCCTGCCTGTGGGGTGGTGCCGGGCCACTGGCTGGTGGGCAAATGCACAAAGTCTCCCTCCTGCCCAAACAGAGGCAGAGGGGGCTGCTCGGGGAATCAGCCAAAACCCTATCTGATGTACAAGGCACTGGTGGCCTAGGTCAGGGCAGGACAGGGTCACATTGTGGGTGAGGGGAGCATCGGGCAGAGACCAGATGGTCTGCAGCTATAGCAGCTGCCACCCTCAAACCTCCCCCGCCCCCCTTGTCTCACTCACTCTCTCACTCTATCTCCCTCTGCCTATCTCTGTGTGTCTCTGCAGTGTCAACTTAATCTGTGTGTGTGTGTGTGTGTGTGTGTGTGTGTGTGTGTGTCTCCAAGGTCTTTATGATCTGTCCTTTCTCCCCACCCCCACCTTCTTTGGAATTGGGGCCCTGGCTGTGACTTGCTCTGAGCGCCTGTGGCCCTTCTCACAGCATCTTCACCTGCCTGGTCATCCTCCTGGCTGTGGCCTCCCCTCCCCCAACTCCTCCCCCACATCTGTCTCATGTGCCCCAGTTCTCTCCAATGTGGGGCTCAGGCCCCTCCCACCCCTGATCTCTAGGACTCCTTCCAGCTGCCAAGCCTAGAGCCCTTGAAGCCTGACCATGCCCCCTGCCTGTGGGTCCCCAGCACCCTGGTCTGCAGGACCATCAGTGCCAGCAACATACCCCTCTCACGTGTTCCTTATACAAGGACAGCAGCTTCCCCTGTGCCCAGCTTGGTGCTACGTGACTTAAAGAGAGGGCTGGGGGTGTCTTCATCTTATAGATGGAAACTGAGGCTCCAGACCAATGGATACGCTAGGTTACGTGTAAATAAAAGGTGAGCCAGGTTTCAGACCAGGTCAGATGGCTTCACAGACAAGACGCTTCCTTTTTTTTTTTTTTTTAAGGGAGAAGGAGAGAGAGTTAGAAACATCAATGATGAGAGAGAATCATTGATTGGCTGCCTTCCTGCACGGCCCCCACTGGGGATCAAGCCTGGGCTTGTGCCCTTGACCAGAATCGAACCCGGGACCCTTCAGTCCACAGGCCGACACTCTATCCACTGAGCCAAACCAGCCAGGGCCCAGATGCTTCCTTTTGACTCTGTCTGGCCCAGGCCTGTTGGTTGGTCTGTGGAAACCATATAACTGACAGATGACACTACGGCTCAAAGGACAGAAGGGGGACCTGCCCTACTAAGGGCAGTGCTCATATTAGCACAGTATCAGGGCCACTCACAAGAGTCCCTGTTGGAACTTCTTGGTGGCCCAAGTGATGGCCAAGGTCACAGTCGTAAGACCTGAGCCAAACCCAAGTCCTCCTGCTTCACTGCCTCACAGCCTGCTCCAGCCCCCGCTGCTGAGTCTTGCTTCCTGGGCCAGGCCCCAAACAGGGTCTAAACTCCCAGAGAACCTTACACATACCGTGCTGCCACCACCTCTGAGCCTTGGCCCATGCTGTTCCCTCTGATAGGAACACTGCCCCTTTCTTCCTGGTAAATTCAGATTTGAATTCAGAGCCCAGCTCAGACATGACACTTCCAGGGAGGGCCCAGGTCTCAAACCCACCCTCTGCCACATCACTGAACCTCTCTGGGCCTCAGTTTCCTCATGTGTTATAGGCTCCCTTATTACAGGTTGGTTGGGAGGGTTACATGTATGACACATGCAATGTGCTGGGCTCAAGGCCTATGCATGTGCCCTTGACCAGAATCAATCCCAGGACCCTTCAATCTGCTGGCCAACACTCTATCCACTGAGCCAAACCAGCCAGGGCCCAGATGCTTCCTTTTGGCTTTGTCCTGGCCCAGGCCTGTTGGTTGGTCTGTGGAAACGGGGCCATATAACTGACAGATGAGGACACTGAGGCTCAGAGGACAGTACAGAGACCTGCCCCACTAAGGGCAGCGCTCACATGCGCGCAGTATCAGGCCCACTCACAAGAGTCCCTGTTGGAACTTCTCGGTGGCCCAAGTGATGGCCAAGGTCACAGTCATAAGACCTGAGCCAAACCCAAGTCCTCCTGCTTCACTGCCTCACAGCCTGCACCAGCCCCAGCTGCTGAGTCTGGCTTCCTGCTGGGGGCTTGCTTCCTGGGCCAGGCCCCAAACAGAGTCTAAACTCTGGGAGAACCCACACACACCATGCTGCCACCTCTGAGCCTTGGCCCATGCTGTTCCCTCTGATAGGAACACTGTGCCCCTTTCTTCCTGGTAAATTCAGACTTGAATTCAGAGCCCAGCTCAGACATGATACTTCCAGGGCGGGCCCAGGTCTCAAACCCATTCTCTGCCACATCACTAAACTTCTCTCTGTGCTTCAGTTTCAACGTTTGTTATAAGCTCCCTTATTACAGGTTGGTTGTGAGGGTTACATGTATGACACATGGAATGTGCTGGGCTCAAGGCCCGCTCAGGGTGTGCACTCGGTCGATGAAAGCTGTTGTTGGTAAATACTGACAGAGCCCACAGGCTCCCATATGGTGAATAAATAAGTGCTCTGTGCTTCCCTCCAGGAGGGGCAGGTGCGGAGCTGCAGGTGATTCAGCCTCACAAGTCAGTGTCTGTCGCAGCTGGAGAGACGGCCACTCTGAGCTGCACCGTGACCACCCTGACCCCCGTGGGGCCCGTCGTATGGTTCAGAGGGACAGGGCCAGGCCGGGAGTTAATCTACAGTTTCAAAGGAGGCCACTCTCCCCGAGTAACAAGTGTTGCAGACCCCACGAAGAGAGAAAACTTGGACTTTTCCATCCTCATCGGTAACATCACCCCAGCAGACACAGGAACCTACTACTGTGTGAAGTTCCAGAAAGGAGGTGGTGATGACATGGAGTTCAAGTCTGGGGCAGGCACTCAGCCGGGGGTGACCCTTGTCTACGAATCACCCTACTCAAGAGGGAGGTGCTCACTGGAAATGGCATTGCTAGGTCACAGGGTGTTTGCATTCTCATTTGTGTGGGTATTGCCAAGTTCCCCTCCTAGACATGGTGGCATCGGGGTCTCCTCACAACTCCTGGACACAGGCAGGGAGGGTGGCTTTATCCCGAATTTCCAGATATCACAACAGTTCCCAACAGTGTGTCCCTTGCTAGGCCATCGCAGGTAGTACGTGGCTCTATTTCGGATCTGCCACCTCCTGGTAGAGAGCTCATTCCCCTTCGCCATCTGCCTGCTCAGTGATGCCCTGGCTGAGAAAGCAGGCCAGGGGGGTCAAGATCCTGTCTTCCTCATGGCATTTACTCTTTAGCCAGTGCGGTGGCAGGGGCTCTCTGTTGGCCCTTTTGAGAGATGAGGACACTGCTGGGTGCTGAGGCAGCTGCAGAACAAAGCAGGCAACGGCTCTGCCCCCACGAAGCTCCGTTCTCTTCCCTCCAGTGGGGAGAAATCTGCCCGGGCAGAGAGAGGGAGAACATTTCCTTTATTTCATCCTCAGAAGCACCAGGCGAGCAGAATTCCTAAGAGGCACAGACTCACTGTTGACTCTGCAGCCCTGGGGGTTGGGGATGCCCAGAAGCTGGGCGTTCACAGTGAGTCTGTCGGATAAACCCCTCTATTTCAGGGACCCAGTCTCACTGCCACTGAGGCTCCGAGCAGAGTGATCTCAGACTGTCCCTCGCCCAGGGAGCAGGCTCCCCGTGTTGGCCCTTTTGAGAGATAAGGCTCAGAGGAGGACCTAACTGATGAGCAGGTACAGAAGCTAAGATTGAACCCCAAGCGGCCTCACAGCCCTGCTTTTTGCCACACCCCACTGTGCTTGTCAAAGTGTAGAGAATGCTCCAAACCTCTCTTTTTAAAATCTTGAATTGTTCTGTTCTTCATCAAGAAGCGTTTTACAAAAATGCCCTGTAGAAAGAGGCAGGTCAGCTTCACAACCCACATTAGACGTGTACACAGTTGTCTCATGATGGGCTGACCCTGTTCCCAAACTCATGGCTCAGCATAGAGAAGCATCCAGGAGGCCTTCCCTTCTTTGTGGTGTTTTCCTCACTGAGCAGCCGCAGAAGCTGCCTGGCTCAGTGGCCTGGACAGAGCAGAGAGGGGTCGCTGAGCCCCAGCACCGCCGTGGGCAGCATCCCTGTCTCTGCAGACTGAGGGTGAGGAGGGGGCATTTCCTAGAGGGCCCTGCGGCCCCAGTGAGCAGGAGTTCATATTCTAGACTCACTGTCAGGAGCCCATTCTCCCATTTGTTGCTGCAGGGCCCCGGCCTGAGCACTTGGAGTTGACTCCTCCCTATAATTCCTTGAAGTCAGGGATTTCAGGGGGAAAGAGGAGGCTGGCAGTCAGTGTTGGGCTTGTGAGGTGGTACACTTACTCTGTGATGGACATGAAGCCTGGGGGCCACAGGAAATGCCCCCGGACATAGTGCTGGTGGAGGAGACAGCCCCTTCACTTGTCTCAGCCGTTTTGTCATCTGTAAAATGATAATAATCTTGGACTCCTTTCGGGAGAGGTCAAGGATTTGAGGTGCTCTGTCTGAATCACCCCAGCACAGAGTAGCATCCCAAAATCAGGTGCTATTTCATGATGTGGCCAAGTTTCTCTTGCTGGACCTCATTTTCCCCACCTGTAGATAGTGGATGGTCTCACCACCCTTTGCAGGAAGGTGTGAGGATACAGCTGAGAGGACAGACCCTCAGTGGGCAGTTGTGTCACCCCATAGCTGGGCGCTCTCGGGCAAGTCTGTTTCCTAGGAGTCCTCAGTTTCCCCATCTGTGAAGTGGTGACCATCACAGCTCCCGCTCAGGGGTCTTTGAAGGTAGGAGAGGATGTCTAGAAAGTCATAGAGTGGCTCGGGGTGTTCTTGAGGGTCAGTGCCCAGCGGGTGAGAGCATGGGCCAGCCCCCTGCTTGAGCTCACATCCCAGCTCTGCCACTTCCCGGCTCTGTGACCTCTGACCCATCACTCCCCACACTGTGCCTCGGTTTCCTCGTCTGTCAGTGACAGCACTGACCTCACAGAGCAGCTACAAGGCCTGAGTGAATACATGTGAGGTGCTCAGAGCAGGGCCCGGCACGTAGTAAATGTTCAGTGAACATCGTGAGACAGCTGTGTACATGTCTGATGTGAGCTATGATCGCCAAAGCCATGGGACCTTGGACAGGTCACTGTCCTCTCCAGGCCTCGGTATAAATGGGCCTAAAGGTGGGATTCAGTGCCTTTCAGCTTTGGCTGCTCATTGGAATCACCTGGGAAACTGTGGTCCCTAGTCCCTGGCTCCACCCTAGGAAGTCTGATTTAATTGCTCAGGCATGGGCCTGGCAGCTGAATTGTTAACTCCCAGAGGGTGCTAATGCAGAGCCAGGCAGACAGCCTGAGTGAGAGCATGGGCCAGCCCCCTGCTTGAGCTCACATCCCAGCTCTGCCACTTCCCGGCTCTGTGACCTCTGACCCATCACTCCCCACACTGTGCCTCGGTTTCCTCGTCTGTCAGTGACAGCACTGACCTCACAGAGCAGCTACAAGGCCTGAGTGAATACATGTGAGGTGCTCAGAGCAGGGCCCGGCACGTAGTAAATGTTCAGTGAACATCGTGAGACAGCTGTGTACATGTCTGATGTGAGCTATGATCGCCAAAGCCATGGGACCATGGACAGGTCACTGTCCCCTCCAGGCCTCAGTATAAATGGGCTTAAAGGTGGGATTCAGTGCCTTTCAGCTTTGGCTTCTCATTGGAATCACCTGGGAAACTGTGGCCCCTAGTCCCTGGCTCCACCCTAGGAAGTCTGATTTAATTGCTCAGACGTGGGCCTGACAGCTGAATTGTTAACTCCCAGAGGGTGCTAATGCAGAGCCAGGCAGACAGCCTGAGCTAGATGTTCTCTGAGGCCACAGGAAACCTTGCATCCCGCCCCCCCTCTCCCCCGACAAAGGTGTCCCCCCTGCTGCTGGGGCTGAGAGAACAGCTTTAGGGGTACAGGTGCTTCAGAGTAGCTCATTGGAGGCCCAAGAAAATGAGCCCGACTGGAGTGGCAGGGACACCTTACGGCACAGGCCTGGCTGAGAGTGACACCCTGCCCTCTCCACCCCGAGGAGGGGCAGCCCAGCACCCTGTTCAAATCCGAGTTCCATTGCTGGGACACCCTCCCATCTCTAAACACCTGTGTGTCTAAACAGGGTCGGAATCCCCACAGATACCCCTGCTCAGCCCCAGAGCCCTTCCTGCCCCTACACACCAAAACGTCACTGACAAAACCTGTCCTCCCTTTTTGCAAAATGCTTCCTGCTTCTGTTAAGAGCTAACCTGTAGGGAAACGCCTGTGATCTTGTGTGTGTTTTGAAAGTCATTTTGCCGAACTTGTTTCCTGAGGGGATCATTAAAAAAAGAGGGAGAGAACCATAATTTGGTGGTTTCTCTGCTTTTTTTCATCTGAGTTTTTGCACGGCAGCTGCGGGGAGCAGGATTTGAGAGACTTTTCTTGGTGTTTCTGCTATGCTTTTGTTTTGCAGTCTTACTGCCTAAAGAACAAATAGGGCCCGGGCAGGCAGGGTGGCTCAGTGGTTGAGCATCGACCCGTGAACCAGGAAGTCATGGTTCAATCCCCGGGTTGCCACTCAATCCCAGTGTGGGGCATGCAGGAGGCAGCCGATCAATGATTCTCTCTCATCATTGATGTTTCTATCTCTCTCTCTCTCTCTCTCTCTCTCTCCATTCCTCTCTGAAATCAATAAAAATATATATATTTTTAAAAAGAACAAATAGGTAGTTTCAGAACTAGCAAGGCCAGGTCTTATGATAATAATGGTAGGTGTTATTTATTAAGCACCTACTGTACAGGGGTGGGCAAAAGTCGGTTTGCAGTTGTTTATATGGAAAATAATACAATAATTAATAAATAAGAATATAAGAATAAACTCTGTGTTTTGCCCGCCCCCGTATGCCAGGCTCTGTGTGACATACATCCTCACTCCCCTTACCAGGATGGTGTTCTCAGCCACTCTGTACAGAGCCAGACCCTGAGGCTCAAGGATAAAGAACCGAGATGCTAATAGTAATCGGTCCTGTGAGTGGTGAGATGAGCCCTGTCTTTCCTCCCCGTGTGCCCTGGACCAGCCTGGTCCCTCTCTCAGCCTCATCCCCTGAGTGAGACCACACAGTGCCTGCCTTCAGGGCGGTGGGAAAATGAGGGGCTGAGGCACAGAGGACCAGCCCAGCATCAGGATGCCAGGTTTTCTCAATAAACGGTAACTGATCCCAGCATCTCCAGGGGCGTCCAGGCTGCTGGTGTTTTTACCACTTGGTGATTCAAGTGACACTCCCTTATCTATGTCCTCAAATGTTCGATGAGTTTCAGGAAGCAAGTTAGATATTTACAGATGCAAGTTCTTGTTAATGTTTGCCATCTGCCCACTGTTAGTGAAGGTGCTGGGTAAGAACTCACAATGTGGAGACGCCCTACAGGCCCTTTCTACAGGGAGAAACCGCTCTCACGTTTGATCCCCTGTGTGTGGATGCTTTCAGGACACAGGAGTCCCGCCTGCTCCTAGGCCTGTGTCTGTGCCTCTTCTATTCTAATAAAGATTAAGACATAAACCACCTCTGGCTTTCTCAGCACTCAGTGATCTGTGTGTTCAAACCCAAAACTGACCCAAGAGAAGAACCCAAATTCAGAAAAAAACATCCCATTGTCTTCTCCCTTTCAAACTCAGGGACTGGCCCAGATGAGACAGACCCCGCTGGAGTATTTGTGGAATGAATGAGAACTATGGAGTAGCTCATGAATACCGGAAGGGAGAGCTCTGGATGCACATTCAGTTCAAAATGGATCTGTGTTTCTTTATTTTTATGAAGCATCTGTTTTGCTCAAAGCAAAAAGGCTTCCATTGCCTGATTCAACCCGCAGTGCAGTCCGGGAAGGAGAAATGCCTGCTGTCCCATTTCACAGATGGGAACTGGGCTGCTCCCTGGGCTCACTGCTTCCTCTGCGTTCACATCTGGGACGTTTCCAGGAGAGGCCAGATAGGGGAGTTAGTGAGACTGCTCAGGAATGTTGTCCCTAGGCCAGCTGGTGGGACATCACCTGGAGAGGAAAGACGGTGACTTCAAACTCAGGCCTGGATTTGCTTGTTGGCCCTGCCCCTCACTCAGGGGACTGGAGTGTCCTCCCAAGTAAGATGGGAATGATGACACCCCCAGAATTAAAAGAAGGATTAAAAAAAATGGTATATGAGATGGTTTTGACAGTGTCAAATGCTTATGGTTAGTGGTGATATTCACAATCATGTTCATTGTTCATTTTGTTCCTTTTAAAGCCAAACCCTCTCCCCCTGTGGTATCGGGCCCCACTGGATCTGTGTTTCTTTATTTTTATGAAGCATCTGTTTTGCTCAAAGCAAAAAGGCTTCCATTGCCTGATTCAACCCTCACTGCGGCCCGGGAAGGAGAAATGCCTGCTGCCCCATTTCACAGATGGGAACTGGGCTGCTCCCTGGGCTCACTGCTTCCTCTGCGTTCACATCTGGGACAAGGTTTCCAGGAGAGGCCAGCTAGGGGAGTTAGTATGAAGGGTGAGACTGCTCAGTAATGTCCCTGAGCCAGCTGGTGGGACATCACCTGGAGAGGAAAGAAGGTGACTTTGAACTCAGGCCTGGAGTTGCTTGTTGGCCCTGCCCCTCACTCAGGGGACCGGAGTGTCCTCCCAAGTAAGATGGGGATGATGACACCCCCGGAATTAAAAGAAGGATTAAAAAATGGTATATGAGAAGGTTTTGACAGTGTCGAATGCTTATGGTTAGTGGTGATATTCACAGTCATGTTCGTTGTTCATTATGTTCCTTTTAAAGCCAAACCCTCTCGCCCTGTGGTATCTGGCCCCACGGGCAGGTCGCCGCCTGGGCAGACAGTGAGCTTCACCTGCAACTCCCACGGCTTCTCCCCGAGAACATCATCCTTGGGAATGAGCTCCCAGCCTCCCAGACCACCGTGCACCCAGAGGGAGACAGCCCTTCCTACAACGTCTCCAGCACAGCCAGGGTGCTGCTGGCCCCGGGGGATGTTCGCTCCCAGGTCATCTGCCAGGTGACCCACGACACCCTAAAGGGGGACCCTCCTCTTCGTGGGACTGCCAACGTGTCTGAGGCCATCCGAGGTAGATGTCCCTCACACCCAGCCCAAGCCACTCCTGGCCCCTGTCCTCCCAGCCTGCTCCTCCCCCTGCTCTTTGCTCCAGGCCTAGAATTGTCTGGAATCTAATGCCTGACAATCCTTCCCATCATCACTCACATGGATTTGCCCATCGCTCACCCCTGTCTAATGGCAGCTGGCAGGTGAACACCTACCACTGTACTTGGTAGTTTTATCTACTTTACCAATAGCAACACAATAAGTGAGCACCTACTAAAAGCCAAGCTCCTATGTGCTTGGCAATTTCATTTATTTTTCTACAGTTATGTTTCAACTACATGCCAGCCTGTGCTTGTTTACTTAGAAACATCATCCTGAAATGGTTCAAGGATGGGAATGAGCTCCCAGCCTCCCAGACCACCGTGCACCCAGAGGGAGACAGCCCTTCCTACAACGTCTCCAGCACAGCCAGGGTGCTGCTGGCCCCGGGGGATGTTCGCTCCCAGGTCATCTGCCAGGTGGCCCACGACACCCTAAAGGGGGACCCTCCTCTTCGTGGGACTGCCAACTTGTCTGAGGCCATCCGAGGTAGATGCCCCTCACACCCAGCCCAAGCACACCTGGCCCCTGTCCTCCCAGCCTGCTCCTCCCCCTGCTCTTTGCTCCAGGCCTGGAATTGCCTGGAATCTAATTCCTGACAATCCTTCCCTTCACCAGGCACCTGGATGTGCCCGTCACTCATCACTGTTTCATAGCAGCTGTCAGGTGAACACCCACCACAGTACTTGGTAGTTTTATCTACTTTACCAATAGCAACTCCAATAACTGAGCACCTACTAGAAGCCAAGCTCCTATGTGCTTGGCAATTTCATTTATTTTTCTACAATTATAATGTCCCACTGCATGCCGGCTGTGCTTGTTTACTTTAGTCATATTACTCTCACAGGAGCTCCAAGCCCTTGAGCACCTACTGTGTGCAGGCTCCTGTGCTTAGTGATTTCATTCATATGAAAGAGCACCATCGGTGTCTGAGCACCTGCCCTTTGAGATCCCCTTACTGTGGTGGGGGAGCTAACGTTGGAGCCCGCCTGGGTGATCTGTGTCCCATGAGGTCAGAGCTGTGCCCTGTGCTGTTTCAGTTCTGCCCACCTTGGAGGTTACCCAGCACAAGGTGTCAGAGAAACAGAAGAACGTCACCTGCCTGGTGAAGAACTTCTACCCCCAGCGCCTACAGCTGACCTGGCTGGAGAACGGAAACACGTCCCGAACAGAAACGGCCCCGACCCTCGTAGAGAACAAGGATGGGACCTTCAGCGGGTGGAGCTGGCTCCTCGTGAATCTGTCTGCCCACAGGGAGGATGCGATGCTCACCTGCCAGGTGGAGCACGATGGGCAGCCGGCCATCACCAAAACCATCACCGTGGAGGCCCTGGCTCACCAGAAGGACCCAGATGAATCCTCTGGTGAGGCCCCCACTTTAACTGACCGGCTCTGACTAAATTTTATCTTTACTGTTATAAGTAGTAATTCATGCTTATTATAGGATAACCTAGAAGTCTATAGATAGAAAGTAGCATTTTGAAGTGAGCTCCCCTCCCCAAACCCCACACTGCATAGTCACCACTGGTAATAGTTCGGTATAAACTTTATAGATCTTTTGACATCGATGTACATTAAGAAAAGAAAGCGCGAGGGAGGGCGGGAGGCCCTCACAGTGCCCTGCCTCTGGCTTTCTTCTCACAGTCACTGCGTTCACCGGCCATGTCGGCCCCTGCCTCCTCCTGGCTCTTTCTGACCTCTGCCTGGTCCCCTGGCTGCCATTGCACGTCTGCCCCACAGGGATCGGGGCGGGGCTTCCAGATGTGTGTGGCTTCTGTCCAGTGTAATCGCTGCTGCAGTACATGTCCTTGTGCATATTGTGCTACACGTGCAGCTGTTTCTATGGGACCATTTCCCAAGGAGCATTTCTAGGCCCGAGTGCGTGCTCATGAAGATGCTGGTAATGCTGCCACCTCCTGGGAGAGTCAGAGGTGCAGGGTGCCACCCCAGCACCCCTCCGACGTGTTGGCGTGCGTCTCCCTTCTTTCTTCACAATGGCAGCACCTAGTTGGTGCTTCGGTGCCAGCGAGGAATGTTCTATCGTTAGCATGGCTGTGCCTTGGCCACGGCAGAGCCTTTGAGTGGGTTAGAATAAAGGCCATTTCTTCCCTTCGTGCATCCTTCAAGGGGCCAGAGAGCTCCAATGAAGGCCGGGCCCTGTCAGGGTGCCCTTTGATGTCACCGGTGCCTGCTTCTCATCGGATGAGGCCTGCACTTAGAGCAGCATGTTCGGTCGACCTCTAGCCCTGGCCCAGACCTGCTGGGTGACCTTGGGCCCATCAGTGCCTCTCTCTGGGCCTCTGATTGCTGCTGGCAGTGCCGAAGGAGAGGCGCTGTGACCCTAGCTCGGAGTCTCAGCTGCTAGGAACCCCGGCATCGCAGCTTCAGGACCTGGCCCTCAGCCCAGCACATAGTAGGAAATGCCTTTAGACAGGAGGAAAGAGTGCGTGAGTTGGTTGGTTGGTTAGTTGCTGATTAATCCTCAGGGCCATCCAACGTAGTAGAGCTTATTCTTGGCCTCAGTAACACAAGGGAAGCCAGTGTGTAGAGGTTCAGGTGACTGGCTCAAGGTCACACAACTAGGGGCGTGGATTTGAACCCACATTTCTGCAGCTCAGCCCTGCTCCCGCGGCCCACTGTGCTCCAGTGTAGGCTCCCTCCCTGTGCCCCGGGGCCAGCCAAGTCCTTGTTTCATTCAGTGTCTGGGTTCAGAGCCCCTCTGCCTGGGTCCCAGGCACTAATCCTGGGCGGCCCCTGAGAGGTCTGCAGAGCCCACTGGTCACTTGCAAGTGGCCATTCCTCCCGCCCCCACTGAGATTCGGAGTTTGAGTGGGCCCGTGCCGCCTCGGTGGCCACCGGTTCAGGCCGATGCGGAGAACAGGCTGTTCCCCGGGAGTGATAGGTCTGCCCCGGCCTGCAGCCCGGTTTCCACCACGGCTGCAGCACCATGCGGTCTCCCCCGGCACCTCAGCGTGGTTTGTGTGTTACCCGCAGTTGACCCATGTGGGGACGTGTGTGTGGAGCCATGAACGTGCCCACGAAGCTCGAAACGCCCGAGAAGACCCAGCCAGATGCTCTCAGTTAAGGGGCCCGTCCAGGGGTGCGGAGAGCGGTGGGTGGCGATTCTCTGGTTCTCATCTGGCGCCTGAAGCCTCTGTTCTGCCTTGTCCCCAGCTGATCCTGGGAAGCTGAAGGGCATCTTCATCGCGGTGGGCGTGGTGTGTGCCCTGCTGGTGGCCCTGCTGATCGCCGCCCTCTATTTCCTGCGAGTCCGACAGAAGAAAGGTGGGTGCGTTCCCTGCTTCTTCCCCAGGAGTGTGCCCCAGGCTGTCCTTTCCAAAGGGGGAGGTCACAGGAGGGCATTGGGCGCCATTGGGCGCCGCATAGCTTAGCCATTAGGATGTGCAGTTACTTCCAGGAATGAGATAGAAGTCCAGAGGGAGCAGTGCCACCGCTGGCGAGACACCCTCACCCGGTGGGTCTGGGTGGGTCCCTCCCGGGGCCTTCCCCTCGTGGCTGCAAGATGGCATCTCTGCTCCAGGCCGTGCCTCCTCATGGCACCTCTATCGAGGTGGCAAACGGAGCTGGGAGAGGGTGAGGAGAGGGTCTAGGAGAGCAAGTAATATTCCCAGGGACCCCCGCCCAACGTTTGCTTTCCTCTTACCTGTCCAGTTACATGCCCAGCCCCTAGGCAGGAGGCTGGAAGAGGGTAGGGATCACACCAGCACCCACCTCCAAGGCTGTTGGCAGGATTAAGCGGGTGGTATATGTAAAAGTTAGGAGAGTACCTGGCACACAGCAAGTGCTCAATAAATGTTACCTCCTGTCGTCAACATTAAACATGAGCCGCCTCCCTGGGAAACTCCCCTCCCGGTGGCAGGAGGGGACATGCCGCCTCGCCGCCTCCCTGGGAAACTCCCCTCCCGGTGGCAGGAGGGGACATTGTCCCGTGTGTGTGTGTGTGTGTGTGTGTGTGTGTGTGTGTGTGTGTGTGTGGTTGTGTAGCTCCTGTGTGGCAAGGCCTCTGCCTTTGGAGTCAAGACAAACCAGGGCTGTTATAGGTTCTAAACAATCAGTTTGGCCTCCACGAGCCTCAGTTTGCTCACCTGCAAAATGGGTATAGCAATGCCTATGTTGAAGGATAGTTATGAAACCAAAGAAGCTCATGTGAAATAACAGCTCTGACACATTCTCAGGCCTCAAAAAATGCAAGTTCTCTTTTCTGCTCTCGAAGGAGACAAGTTTAAGCCAGTGTTTCTGCAACTTATTTGACTACAAGTGATAGAAATACATTTCATATGTCAACCTGACACATGCGGGCCCCATAGATGAAATTAGAACTGTGATATTTTCTTTCTTGTCAGAGTCTATCCTAAGTCCCCTGAAAAGTACTGGTGGCGAACTACCACGTGCCACAGCCCGTAAAGTGCTGTCCTCAGCTGCCTCTCAGCTCGAGGGGGCAGGCCGCGTCAGTCACACGCCTCTTCTGCACCCTCACCTCTGCCCCCAGGCTGCCCCTCCCTCCTGGGCTGGCTGGAAGGCTTAGCTCTGATTACTGGCCAAGCCTCAAGCTCCTGGCCCAGGAGGACTAGAGTCAGGCCCATGTCTCTGGAATCTGGAGGAGCTTCTGCAAGTGACCTACCCAGTGGTTTCCCTAAAGTTCCTGGGAAGCCCCACACAGGAAGGACTCCTTGCCCACCACACGCCACAAGCCAGCCCATTAGGGGGAAGTGCTCACAGTGGCTGTTAGGGAAATCCCAACCCTTCCTCTAGAGCAGTGGTTCTCAACCTTCCTCATGCCGCGACCCTTTAATACAGTTCCTCATGTTGTGGTGACCCCCAACCATAACATTATTTTTGTTGCTACTTCATAACTGTAATTTTGCTACTGTTATGAATCGTAATGTAAATATCTGATATGCAGGATGTATTTTCATTGTTACAAATTGAACATAATTAAAGCATAGTGATTAATCACAAAAACAATATGTAATTATATATGTGTTTTCTGATGGTCTTAGGCGACCCCTGTGAAAGGGTCGTTCGACCCCCCAAGGGGTCGCGACCCACAGGTTGAGAACCGCTGATCTAGAGCCTCATCCCTGGGCACCATGTCACTCCTGGCACACCTGAGCTCATTCCTGGGGGCTTAGGCATCCGCGACCGGGTGTTCCAGAGGAGGAGTGGCGGTTTGGAGAGCTGTAGACATGGGTGCGGGCCACCCATACCTGGGTGGTGGGTCTGTACATGCAGAGCCCAGCTCTCAGACATACGCTCCAGTGACAGTGACAACTAGCACTCGCACAGCCCTTCTGATGTGCCAGGCACTGTTCTTACCACAGACTTCTGCAGTGGTATTATTAAACCCATTTTACAGATGAGGAAACTGAGGCACGGCTAAGTTGTAAAACTTGCTCAGGGCCTCACAACTGGCAAGGGGTGGGGCCAGGATTCAAACCTTGGCCGTGGGACTCTAGGGACCACACTGCACATCACTTCCACCCTAATGAGATGCCCCTTCTCCCTCATTGGTCCCTGGAAGGATCCGCCCATCCTCTACCTCAATACAGTGAGATATCTTCATTTCTATTCTACCAGTTACCATTCCTGTCACCGTAAGGAGTCACCCAATCTCCTTAGTGTAAAATGAGGGTGATCAGTCATTGGACTCCCTGGGACATCTCATGTCCTAGTACTTTGCAACCCATCAGCCTCCATTCAGATGTCAGATGCTGAGCTGCAGCCTTCCCACTGCTACCCGCTCACCTGAAAACCCACTGCCTGCCCAGGCCCCAAGCATTAACCCAGCAGCGAGAATGGCTGCATTGTGGCAGCCTCCAGCCTCCTGACACGAGGTGCAGAGCACATTTGAGTGTGCATGTTGCTTTTTAATTACAATTTTGCAGTGAAATTCGAGTCAAATGGTGGCTGAACCCCAGTGGCTTCTCTGTGGGATGCCCCATATCACAGGTTTAAAAATCTCTGAACCAGATGGACTCTTTCTTTCTCCCAGGATCTTCTTTGGGAAAGGTGACACGAAAATAAATGAACGTCCAGCCCAGTCCTGTGAGTCAGAGAGCTGAGATCCAAACTCAGAGAGAAAGGACCCATCCCGGCCCACACAGCGAGCGAGCTGGTGGCAGAAGTGGGATTCACACCTGCTCCCCAGCTCACAGCCCCGCTGGAATCTGTTCTCCAGCAGGGAGAGGCCACGGCTGGGACCGAGCCTTGATGCAGGGTCTAGGCAGGAGTGTGGTGAAGTCCAGACCAGGGCTAGGGCAGGTGGCCCCTCCAGGCTGAAGGCTGCTTTGGGATCTGACCTTTGGCAATTCCCAGAGGTGAGAAAGCAGGACGGCTCAGCTCCTGGCTTTCCCCAATGAGAGATAATGGGCCCCCCACTGGGGTGAGCACGGGGTTTCCTATGGTTGAGAGGATATGATTTCAACAATTTCTCCCAGTGTCACTGGAGGAAAACGTTTGCCCCCCCCCACTCCCCCCCCCAAAAAAAATAAAATAAAAAACAAAGTATGTTTCTAGGTTAAATAACTGGCTTTTGTTTCTTTTCTCTTGCAGCCAAGGGCTCCACTTCTTCTACAAGGTGAGTGCATCTCTGGGCTACCATGCTTTTGCAATTGTTACTTAGCTGTTTGACAGCCCCAAACCGGAAAAGCAGAATCCACACCCACTGACCCCCAGCTCTGCCAGTCAACCTTCCTGTCTCTGCTTTGGAAGTGCCTGAGGCCAGGCCCATTTTAATTATTGACCCCAGGGGATCGGAGGGGACTTCCACAGACAACCAGACTCTTATGAAATCCTGTTTGGACTGTGGCAGAAGCACAGTCCAAACACACCACCCATATCCAAGTTGTATACTTTGCTCTTTCCTTCGTTCATTAAATATTTATTAAGTACTTTGGCATGGGTGGCCCTGGGGACGCCGGGTGAGTAAGGTAGAAAGCGTCTGTGCCATCCTGAAGCTCGCGCCCTGGTCAGAGGCTAAGGTGATGACATTGTGTCACAAATGGTGTCTTAGTTTGTTGATTCATCTTTTCAGTGATTCTTACTGAGTCCCTACTATGTGCCGGCTCAGTGCTGGGTGCTGGGGATATAGCAGTGAACAAAGATCGGTCCGGACTTGCTCTGGCCAGTGTTATTCAGTAGTTAGAGGGTCCAAGCTCTAACCACCGAAGGGTCATGGGTTCAATTCCTAGTCAAGGGCATGGACCTGGGTTGCAGGTTCGATCCCTGGCCCTGAAGGGGTGTGTGTGGGAGGCAACCAATCAATGTGTCTCTCTCACATCGGTGCCTCTCATTCTCTCTCTCTCTCTCTCCCTCTCTCTCTCTCTCCCTCCCTCCCTCCTTCCCTCCCTTCCACTCTTTAAAAATCAATGGGGGGAAAAGTATATATATATACACATATATACATATATATACACACATATATATACACATATATGTATGTGTGTGTGTATATGTGTATATATATATATATATATATATATATATATATAATGAAAAAATAATCAGTCCGGACCCAAATGGGGTTCACACACCAGTGAGAGAAGCCGGCAGTAAGCATAGAGGTAAATGATATGTAATGTCATGTGACAAATCAAACAGAGCAAAGGGATGGAGATTTAAGGCAGGTCTCTCTTAGGCAGGAGGAGGGGCCCCCTGAAGATGTGAGCAGGTTCTGAGCCAGGGAGCTATGAAGCAGAGGTGTGTGCAGGGTGAGACAGCGGGTGTGGCGAAGGCCCGAGGTGAGAGGTGACGGGAGGCCCAGAGGAGGCCTGTGCGCTGGGGCAGAGGAAGGAGAGGACGGGCAGGAGATGAGCTCAGGGAGATGCAGGCCCACAGGCTCTTAGCTGAGGCCCATGCAGCAGATGTGTTACTCATCCAGGCTTTCCAGCTCTAGGGAGGCCCCGACGTTCACCCAGCAGAACAGAAGCAGCACGCCACAATCTACTACCTGACTGTACCTGCTTGGAAATATAGGAACGTCTGTACTAAGAGCAGCAAATAAAAACTATAAATAGCTTCACGTTTAGGTCAGGTTTTGCCACCAAATGGGTTTTGCCAATACTTTGATTTTGTAGAGCTTTGTGGATTTCAGAATTACAGAGCAGGAACTGGGTCTGGAGGGGAGGCTAGTGGTCTAGGGCTGTGGCCACTAGGACCTGGGGTTTTACTCCCAGTGGAATGAGGAGCCATAGGAGGGAGGTGATCTGACTTGTTTAAGAAGTATCACCCTGAGTGTCGTGTGGGGACCCGGCCATGGGGGAGGAGTGTGGAGGCAGAGAGGCGACTTCTGCGGTGGTCCAAGCAGATGACGGTTGCCTTGACCATGGTGGTGGGATGGGATGGGAAATGGTAGATGCTGGATACTTTTGGAGGTTCAGCTCAGAGGACTTGCTGATGGATTGGATGTAGAGTCAAGGACGATTCCAAGGTTGGGGGCAGCGAGGGTGCTATGTGTGTGTGCACACCAAGTATACTCTTTTGCAAGGCCAAGACTCGGCTTCCATCCTTTGCCTAAAAGCCTTTAGTGGCTCTCATGGTTGTCAAGATAGTCCAGAGGCCCTCGAGTCCCTCATGGTCAGGCCCCTGCTGACACGGACAGTTTCACTTCTGGCCACGCCCCAGTGTTTCATTCTGTGGCTCAGCCAGGCCGCTCTCCCTTCTCTCCTCCCTCAGGCCTCACTCTCTCTGAGATGTGCTCCCCCACCCCTGCTCACTCACCACCCAGGGTCTCCACAATTCCAGGGGGCATCAGAGGGGGCTCTGTGAATGGCACCCCCTGGAGTTGTGCGACATGGAAGCTAGAATGGGCACCCCTCCCTTCACCCGGTTACCTCCTGCTCTTCCTCTGGGCTCAGTGAGGGCATCCTGACCCGCTCAAGCTGTCCCTGGCCTTGGCCCCAGATTGTAACCCATCCCTCCTGCCTCCTGAGGGCAGGTTCACTTCCCTCATGTTCGGTGCTGGCCATGGCAAATGGAATAGGTGCCCGGCAAAGATTTGTTCAATGAACAAGTGAATGAATGAATGAATGAATGAATGAATACCACCCTAACCCACTGCAGTGATCTCCATCTCCTCCTCGGAATCCCTAACCCCCCTCCTCCCCTCAGTGGCTTCACGGCCCCAAGTAGGAAAATATCTCTCTTTTTTGTTTTTATTGTTGTCATTATTTTGTATTTGTCTTGTTTTCCCAATTAGACAGTAAGTTCTGGGAGAAAAGGGCAATGCCAATAATAATAATGACAACCGCATCAGCAGCTAACATGTATTGAGCCCTCACTGGGCTCCAGGAACCGATCTATGCCTTTGCCGGTATTAGCCCAGAGGTGATTTTAATGATCACAAAAAACCCTATGATTTACTGTTATCCCATGTAATGGAGCAGTGGTTCTCAGACTCGGGTGTGTGGCGGATCCTCTGGAGGGCTTGTTAAAACATAGACTTCTGGCCCCGCCCCCAGAGTGGCTAATGCAGAATGTGTGTTTCTGACAAGTTCTCAGGTGGTGCTGCTGTTACTGCTCCCGAGCCAGACTTTGAGAACCCCCGTTTAGGAGGTTATTGTTGTCCCATGTGTGGGCGAGGAAGCTGGGGCTCAGAGAGGTCCTGTGACCTTCCCAAGTCCCACAGCTAGTGAATGCTGGCGCCGCGACTCCCTCCCCGTGTCTCCACGCCTAAGCTGACGCTCTTTGTCTGCGCCAGTGCTCTCGCTGCCTATTTCTTCTTCCCCAGAGAAGCCAGCCGTTTTCTGCCTGTTTTTTATTTTTCCATCAGGAGCCTACCCAGGGAGCCGGGAGATCGCTTGCTCCCTTTCATCTCTCTAAACCAAAGCAATAGCTAGCGAGCCGTAATGGTGGTTTCCCATGTAGCAGCCGCTTCCGCTGGGCTGGCTGGAATCAGACGCTTTCCAGAGGACGTTGGCGTGGGCAGCACTGCGCACCACGGGGAGGGTGCCACGGGGGATGCCGCCGCTTTGAGCTCAAAGCACCCCTCAGGCTGCAGAGCCGGTGGAGGGACTGGCGATATCCACCTTCCTGGGTGAGGAACGCACAGGCAGAACACTGTCTGTAATCTTTTCAGCTCCGACGGCAGAATGTGTCTGCTCTCTTAATTGGGCACTGGGGTTCATTCAGTTGGCCATTTGTTCACTTGTCAGACATTCACTGCGTTTATTCTTGGAATACATAGGGCTTCCCTGATTCTTTCATTTATTCATCTTATTGAGCCCAGCTCAGTGCCAGGCCTTAAGCTGGGAGATTGCAAAGGGGAGCAAAAATGACACTAAGGCCCAGTTTCATGGCACTTGGGACAGACATTGGTTGATTCATTCATTCATTCATTCATTCATTTATTCCTTAAATATTTACCGCGCCAGGCCTTAAGCTGGGAGATTGCAAAGGGGAGCAAAAGTGACACTAAGGCCCAGTTCCATGGCACTTTTGATCCAGTGGGACAGATGTTGATTGATTGAGTGATGGATTCATTCATTCATTCATTCATTCATTCCTCAAATATTTACCACATGCTAATGCCCCACCAGCCCATTACTGGGAGTCAGGGCTCCAGTGGTGAAACAGATGGGCCTAGTCCCTGCTCACATGGAGACCACGGTTTGGAAGCAGGTGATCAAACAAGCTGGAAGGTTAATACACAGCGCGATGCAGATGCTGACTAAATAAAATAAAGCTGGGCTCAGAGCCGAGTAGGAGGTGGGGTGTGGTGGGTGATCAGGGAAGGCTTCTCTGAGGAGGTGACATTTAGAGGATAGCCGGAGGATGGGAAGTCACGGGCCTGAGGTTATCTGGACAATAGTGGGCCCGGCAGAAGGAACAGCCAATGCCAAGAGCCCGAGGCGGGAGCAGTTGGAGACGTTCATGCATATGGAGAAGGCCAGGGCAGCTGGAGTGGAGTGAGCCAGGGGGAGAGAGATGGGAGATGGGGGGCAGGCCAAGCGGGCCTCGCCTGTCAGGATACTCACTGCAGGGCTGAGGGTTTTGAGCAGACACATGATACGACACAGCCAATGCCAAGAGCCCGAGGCGGGAGCAGTTGGAGATGTTCATGCATATGGAGAGGCCAGGGCAGCTGGAGTGGAGTGAGCCAGGGGGATAGAGACGGGAGATGGGGGGCAGGCCATTCGGGCCTCGCCTGTCAGGATACTCACTGCAGGGTTGATGGTTTTGAGCAGACACATGATACGACATCATGTATGCATTTTTACATGTGGAGAACGGTATGCAGGGTGTCGGGAAGGTAAGCAGGAACACGGAGGAGGCACCACGGGAATCTAGGGAGCTGGGAGGGTGGAGGTGATGGAGCGCTTGGGTTTGATGTGTATTTTGGGGGCCAAGTCAGCAAAGCTTATGCAGCTCAGACATGGGTTATAAGGAGGAGAGAGGAGACTCGGGATGGCTCCCACCTCTTTAGCCTGAGCACAGGGCTGAGTAATGGCAGCACCACTCACAGAGATAGGAGAGGCCAGAGAAGAGGCAGACACACGCACACAAAGGAAAATCTCTTCCAGTCTGAAGTACTGCTCCGAAAGAAAGGAACCCAGTGCTCCGAGAGAGGAGTTGGGGGATTCAGTGCAAGTTTCCCGGAGAAAGGACTGTTTGAAACAGGGATTGAGGGAAGAGAAGGCGTGAACTAGATGAGGCAAGGAGGACTATGTGCAAAGGCCCTGGGGCAGTCTGACTGGCATTCATTCCCAGTCACTTTTGAGCACCCGTACGGTAAGGACGCACGGCAGGCAGGCAGACAGGCAGACACATACACCAGACGGAACACACATAAGGAGGTTTGAAATTGTCATCAGGCTCAGCCCAGCCAGCCCGAGGACATGACACCACAGTTGAGTCTTGAATGATGCACAAGTTAACCATAAAAAAGTGGCTAAGAAGGTCATTCAAGGACGTTGCTATTGACACCTAAAGTGTGTCGTATCAAGTAGTCCTCTCGAAATATTTGGTGGGTGGATAGTGGAGAAATGAGGACAGGGGAATTAATGAGTCCTGAGGGCAGGGGGGGCAGTAGGGGCCAGGCCACATGGGGCTTATGAGCAGGGTGATGAGTTGGACTTGAACCAGAGACCTTGGGACCCCCCGAGGGTTGGAAGCAGGTGGGATGTGGATAGAGCTGCGTGACCCTTCATTCATTCATTCATTCATTTATTCCTTAAATATTTACCGCGTGCTAATGCCCCACCAGCCCATTACTGGGAGTCAGGGCTCCAGTGGTGAAACAGATGGGCCTAGTCCCTGCTCACATGGAGACCACAGTTCGGAAGCAGGTGATCAAACAAGCCGGGAAGTTAATACACAGCGCGATGCAGATGCTGACTAAATAAAATAAAGCTGGGCTCAGAGCCGAGTAGGAGGTGGGGTGTGGTGGGTGATCAGGGAAGGCTTCTCTGAGGAGGTGACATTTAGAGGATAGCCAGAGGATGGGAAGTCACGGGCCATGAGGTTATCTGGACAATAGTGGGCCCGGCAGAAGGAACAGCCAATGCCAAGAGCCCGAGGCGGGAGCAGTTGGAGATGTTCATGCATATGGAGAGGCCAGGGCAGCTGGAGTGGAGTGAGCCAGGGGGAGAGAGATGGGAGATGGGGGGCAGGCCAAGCGGGCCTCGCCTGTCAGGATACTCACTGCAGGGCTGAGGGTTTTGAGCAGACACATGATACGACACCATGTATGCATTTTTACATGTGGAGAACGGTATGCAGGGTGTCGGGAAGGTAAGCAGGAACACGGAGGAGGCACCACGGGAATCTAGGGAGCTGGGAGGGTGGAGGGGATGGAGGGCTGGGGTTTGATGTGTATTTTGGGGGCCAAGTCAGCAAAGCTTATGCAGCTCAGACATGGGTTATAAGGAGGAGAGAGGAGACTCGGGATGGCTCCCACCTCTTTAGCCTGAGCACAGGGCTGAGTAATGGCAGCACCACTCACAGAGATAGGAGAGGCCAGAGAAGAGGCAGACACACGCACACAAAGGAAAATCTCTTCCAGTCTGAAGTACTGCTCCGAAAGAAAGGAACCCAGTGTTCCGAGAGAGGAGTTGGGGGATTCAGTGCAAGTTTCCCGGAGAAAGGACTGTTTGAAACAGGGATTGAGGGAAGAGAAGGAGTGAACTAGATGAAGAGGCAAGGAGGACTATGTGCAAAGGCTCTGGGGCAGTCTGACTCGCATTCATTCCCAGTCACTTTTGAGCACCCGTACGGTAAGGACGCACGGCAGGCAGGCAGACAGACAGACACATACACCAGACGGGAACACACATAAGGAGGTTTGAAATTGTCATCAGGCTCAGCCCAGCCAGCCCGAGGACATGACACCACAGTTGAGTCTTGAATGATGCACAAGTTAACCATAAAAAAGTGGCTAAGAAGGTCATTCAAGGACGTTGCTATTGACACCTAAAGTGTGTCGTATCAAGTAGTCCTCTCGAAATATTTGGTGGGTGGATAGTGGAGAAATGAGGACAGGGGAATGAATGAGTCCTGAGGGGAGCAGTAGGGGCCAGACCACATGGGGCTTATGAGCAGGGTGATGAGTTGGACTTGAACCAGAGACCTTGGGACCCCCCGAGGGTTGGAAGCAGGTGGGATGTGGATAGAGCTGCGTGACCCTCCTTACCAGACGCTGTCCCTGCTCCTGGAGGGTCGTTTCTGTGGCCAGGTGGGGCCCATCATGCCCAGAACGGCTTTCTGAGCCAAGCACTCATGCTAAATCCATGACTAACCCCGCGGCCAAGCCCCATTGCTCGCTTCTGACATTATCCAGGCTAATCCCCAGAGTGTGGCCTGAGAATATATACCGCTCCTGCAGAACCAGTGGCTCTGACTTGCTCACCACCTTGACTGTGACCCTGCAGTGAGCCAGGCCATGGCCTCCAATTACAGAATCAAGCGCATGAATGGCTTCTTTGATTAACCAGGACACTTGATCCTTCCCTCTTCTTTTTTTTTAAATCCTCACTGGAGGATATTTTTTCCATTGATTTTAGAGAGTGGAAGGGAGGGGGGAAGGAGGAAGAGGAAAGGGAGAGAAACATGGATGTGAGAGACCCACATCGATTGGTTGCCCCCCGCACGTGCCCCAGCCAGGGTGAGGAACCTGCAACCAAGGTGCTTGCCCTTGACCAGAATCCAGCCTGTGGGCGCGCTAACCACTGAGAACACCAGCCCGGGCCCTCTTCTTTTCTGATGATAAAACCTAGATGTGTATGATATGGAACAGTGGGAGAATATGGGAAACTAAAGAGGAAAAAATGCCACCCAAAGACCACTGCTGTTAGCATTTTCCTGTTTCCTTCCAGTGTTATCCACACATTTTTCATAATTAAGATCATTCCACTGAGAATTTTGTTTTTTCACTTATCTTTTAATGTAATCATTCATAATTTAAAAACAGAAACTTCTTCATAAACCTTTTAAATCTTTATCAGCGAGTCTATCCTAATTTCCTTAGGCAGTCCCCCCTGGCAGAGCTGTTAGATGTGACTCCCTCCCCCACCCTGCTTGCACCAGTGCCTCTGTGCAGACAGCTTTTTTGATATTTTGAATCCCGCCCCCCCCCCGCCACCAAATGCAATTATGAATCCAAAGATGATGACACCTTCCAAGCTCTTGGTTTGCCTGACTAAGCTGCTTCCCAAAAGGGTTGCCTCAGTTTGCCCCTCCCACCAGCAATATATGAAAACTAGAGGCCCGGTGCACAAATTCATGCATGGGTGGGATCTGGCCGGCCCACCCCGATGGGGGCCCATTGGGCCAGGCTGACGGGGGACAGGGGCTGTGGGCAGCTGGCTGGCCGGCCCGCCCCTGATCTGGGTGTTGGGGGCCAATCAGGGCCTGGATCAGGCTGGTTGGCTGCCTCAGTGCACGTCATAGCCACTGGTCATTCTGGTCTTTCCACCATTCTGGTCACTGGGCTTTTATATATAGAGATGCCAGTTTCACCATATCTTCCCCAGCACCAAGTGTTATAATTTTCAGAGATCCTTACTGATAGAGTAGCTTTAAAAATTGCTTCAAATTCCTTTTTTTATGAGACAGACCATCTGTCCAAACATTTGATAAGCAGCTGTGTTTCTTTTGTGAACCACTCATCCATGTCCTCCACCCCATAGGAAGTGAACCTCAATGTTATTCTTATCAATTTACATGAGCGCTTGAGATAGGGAGGATATTTTTATCTGTGTGTCTCTTTCCTTTTTAGGCTGCATGAGCCCGAGAAGAACGCCAGAGAAATAACCCAGGTACAGTCCTTGGTGAGGTGCCCTTCCTGGGAAACTCGATGGTGTGATTTTCTTGCACCAGCCGGAGCGGCAGATTCACTTCTAAATTAAGACTCCTTTCCCAGGGCGGGAGGGAGGGTGCGGAGGGCGGAGGATCTTTACATTCCTTCCTCCCTTTCCCCTGGTTCTCTGCACGTTCTCGCCCTCCACTCCAGCCAGGATGTCTGCCTTCACCTCCTTGCCTCAGTGCCCCCACTGCACACCTCCAGGGGGCACCCTTCACAGTGCGCTCCATGTCAATGGAGTCAGGCCTTTGCCCAGGCCAGCCCCTCCAACAGGAGCACCCTGCCCGGTTCCTTCCTGGCTCCTCCTGCTGCCTCTCACACAGAGCAGCACGGCACTGCCAGAGCCTGTCTTTCTGATGGGAAGACCCTGTGCCATTAATTCCTCCAGCTGGCAGCGTCTCCTCATCATGGCTGAGGAGGTTTCGCGGGCAGCGCAGTTGGCGTGTTTCCGAGAAACCCAGCCTTGCTCCTTCCGGGCTGATGCTGTCAGCCCTTGGAGGCAAAGGGCTCCCCTGTGTCTTGTAACAAGACAGGCCCTGCCCTGAACCTGGAACGTGCGCGCGCCAGCTGTCCTTGACATTTCCCTGGCTGCTGTCATCATTGTAGATGTAATCTGTTGGAGACAATCAGGGCTGCTAACAGACATGATGTTTGTAGGCCAACATGTTGTGTCCTGCTCCCCGGCCCAGTGCGGCCCCCCAGTGCCCTGACCTTCTCTCCAGTCATTTTACCTCTGGAGTTCTTTCGGGAACCTTCCGGGGAGAGAATGATGGTAAAAAGAACTGAGCAAGGAAACCTGAACAAAATTCAGTCAGCAAAGACTTGCTGAGCACCTACTATGTGCCTCACCCTGGGCAGTGAGCTGGGCACTCACAAGCCAGTTCTGGTGGCGTTTGCAGCCTGGTGTTGGGATTCCTGGTGCCAGGTGCCAGCCCTTGCGAGGGTTGGGTTTCCTAGAGAGAAGTGTGAACGTGCAGGTTGGGACAGAGGAGCTGTGTGGTCAGACCACAGCTTTAGAACCCAACAGACTGGTTCTTCCCAGCTGTGACTTTGACCAAATGATTTAACCTCCCCAGGTCTCAGTTTGCTCACCTGTAAACTGGGTACATCATTCCGACCAGGCTGTGATAGGGCCTACATAAGGTGACCCAGGTGGTGGCATGTGCTGATGGCCGTCGGGAACCGAGATCTGTGGTGGTTATGCACCAACCAGAGTTACCTTGCCGGCAGCTCCTCCGGCCTCTGCAGCATGGGTGCCAGGCACAGAGGAAGCCAAGGTTACCATTCCTGATGGGTAATTTTAAGGCGCAGTTGCGAGTGATAAGATTAGCACATGGGAGATAGATGTTCAGGTTTGCTGGGTGGCTGATAATTGTGGCCATTATTGAACATGTGTGCTCATCCAGGGGGTGCCAGGCACCATTCTAAGAGCTTTCCCTGGTTGATCTCACAGGATCCTCCCAGCGATCCTGGCGATAGATATGATTATTATTCCCACTTTACAGATGGGGAAACTGAGGCCCAGGAAGGTGACGTGAATTGCCCAAAGCCTCTCAGCTAGAAAGAGCAGGAGCAGGATTCGAACTCCAGGCTTCTGACTGCAGAACCTTTACCACCCTCCCCACTGGTCTCATTCTCGCATGCCCTTCCTTGTCTCCCAGTGCCCAGCTGCACCCCGAGCGAGGCTGAAATTGTTGCCATTCACTCGTTCGTTCATTCAACACTAATCAAGCTTCCTCTGTGTCAGCCTTGGTTTCTGCATCAGAACAAATGCCTAATGAATATTTGTTGACTAAAAGAGTAAATGAATGCATGTCCCCTCCCCCTGGGGGATCAGCATGTACTCAGACCCCCCAGACAGACACAGCCCTGGGTGATGGGTGCTGTCAGGGAGAAACACGGGCTGAGGAAGCACATAGAAGGAGCCCTGGACCCAGCCAGGATGAAGCAACGCTTGTTCTTAAATGTGCAGGGTGGGTTGGAGTCATCACCAGGAGAAGGAGGGGGAAGGACTCCAGGCAGAGAGAGGAGTAGGACAAGGCAGGACAGAACGGTGGGAGGAGGTGACACTGAGTCAGCCTGGGAGGCGACCACAGTGGCATTTAGAAGATCCTCAGGCTGTGTGAGGAGGGAGGTGGATTGGAAGGGTGAGGCTGCTGGCAGGTAACCTTGGCCAGAGAGGAGCTGGGTGTGAACTACGGCTGAGTCAGTGGAGGAAACAGAAGCATCCAGACCTGGTGCTGACGAGTGGGTGAGAGGTAGGGGCTCCAGAGTGACCTTCTCTCCATCCCATTCAGACCCAGGACAACAATGACATCACATATGCAGACCTGAACCTGCCCAAGAGGAAGAAGTCGGCCCCCCGGGCCGCTGAGTCCAACAACCACACGGAATATGCCAGCATTCAGGCCGTCCGACCGCCCGCGCCTGAGGACACCCTTACCTATGCCGACCTGGACATGGTCCACCTCAACCGGGCCCCCAAGCAGCCAGCCCCCAAGCCCGAGCCATCTCACTCGGAGTATGCCAGCGTCCAGGTCCAGAGGAAGTGAACGGGGCCTCGGTCGTCTCTGGGCCTGTGCCCAGGAGCCTTCCTGTCCCCCGTGGGGCAGCCACCCCAGTTCCTGGAGGGCCGGGGTGGTGCAGGTCTTGGGACCCAAGGATGAGGCTGGATCTTGTCTCCCCAACCCGCTTGGCTCTCTAGCATTTCCAGGGTGGCCACAGCCCCCCCCACATTGCCACACATGGAGGCCGATGCTGCCAGACCAGCTGGGGAACCCACGTGGGAACTGGCCGGAGCTGCCAGGGGTCCAGGAATTCTCATGCCTCTCTCCATCAACCAAGGGTCTTGGCCACGGTCTTGGCGACTCTTGACAGCCTCCTAGATGCTTTGCAGCCTGATCTTCCAAGGTGAGGAGGGAGAAAACCTCACCTGCTCCTCCCACCACCACCACCACCATCCAGCTGGGGCTCTGGGAAAAGTTCTGTGTCGATTCAACTGCCCCATCCATGGAGAATCCAGAAAACAAATTCTGGGACCACATCCCGAGACTCGGTGAGGTTGCTGCCAACGGTCCTGCATCCCGGACTGACACGTCACAAGCCCTGGGGAGGAGGGGACCCGCCAGGGAATCCTCCACCACCACCAGGACTGAGTAACAAGACCCTCCTCCTCCTGCCCTCCGAGACTCCATGAGGACCAGCAACCTGACCGTCACGCTCCACCTGGACCCGCCTCGCCTTCTAGACCTGAGCTTGCTTCCTCCAGCTAGCACTAACTCAGCAACAGCTCGCTGTGGACGCCTGTAAATTATTGATAAATGTGAAACGTGCAATCTTGAAACTGAGGTGTAAGAAAAATTTGATCTGTGGTGTTTTGTTTTGTTTTGTTTTCTTAAAACAACGGCAGCATTATCTTGGCTCTTTGTCATGTGTTGAAGTACATGGTTGGGTCTTGTGCCGTCCAAGGTTTAGCAGTTGGTTCCTGGAGGGAATATCCTACAGCAGAAAACGAGTTCCTCCATGTCCCAGAGCCCCGAGGATGGGGAAGAAGGTTCCGTTCTGGCGGCTCCGTGGAGATGCTTAGCCTTCTTTCTCTCCAGGACTAAATTGGCCACGTTCTCAGCCAAGCCACGTGGCTGGTACTACTGCCTTCCTGCCCTGGGCGCGGTAAGTCGGAACCAGCCAGTGCTTCTGCAGGCTGCCTCCTCCACCCTGCGGTCTTGTCCGCACCTCATGCCTCAGTCTGCTCACCTGGACAGGGGAGAGGAAGGTGCCTTCCCTCCCCACCATTCCTCATAAGCACTTTAGGGCCATGCAGGGTAGGAAGCTGTGCCTGGCTTTCCCCCCACCCACCACCCCCCACCCCTTAGCGACCTCCCCCCATTCCAGCTCTCTGAACTGATCTCTGCAAGAGAAATCTTCCATTTCTGCTCTCAAACCCTATTGGGATCAAACTGGAATAAATCCAAGACAGACAAGCAGTCTGGGCAGCTGTAAGGCCAGGACTGACCCACCGTTCTGTCCCTCTATCTCGGGAGGTTGGGCAGAAGCTGTGAACCACTGTCCTCTGACCCCCTTCCCTCCCCCTCTTCCAATTCAGCAAGGGTGCCTGGCTGGGCCCAGGGCAAGCAAAAGGTACACGCTGTGTGTTCGGTCTCCACGTGTAACTGATCAGCTCTTAGAACTGAGACACTAATCCTCGCTGCTCCCCGCTCCGCCCCCGCCGGGGTCCGGAGGTTTGGTGCCCAAGGGATTGCTGCTCAGGCCAGCAGAGCAAGAGAGAAGCTGACCCATCCTGCCCGTCAGCGTGGCCTATGGATGGGACTCTGGGAGCTCAGCGCAGGCCCAGCTCTCTGGGGGACCGTGAGTTGGTGTGTTTGACATGATGGCATTCAGGAATGCGCTGAGCCAACAGGCCATGTGGGCAGCGTTGGCCCAACGAGCTAGCGATTCTCTGCGGCATCTGGGAGCGCAGCGTCCCAGCCACCTGCCTCGGACTGTTCCCAAATTCCAAAAGGTTGGCTTGTGAACCTTCGTCTCCCTGTCTTCTGCCCAGAGAAAACGCAGACACGCGGACACACACTCACGCGGAATCTCGAAAGAATGTTTCCTTGGTGCCATTTTAATTTAATTTAATTTAATTTTGAATTTTGGAAGGGGAGTGAGGGAAGGAGGCCAAGGGAGCCGTGTCGTTCTAGCTCCAGGCTGGCAGCCTGGAGATGCTCCTACCTTGTGTATCGAACCGCAGGAAAAGGAAGAGGTCGAGACAACAGTGCGGAAGGAGCGTGGTTTGGAGGGTTTATTTTAAGACTGCTGGGAAGGAAACAGGCCCCATTTTGTATATAGTTGCAACTTAAACTTTTTGGCTTGCAAAATATTTTTGTAATAAAGATTTCTGGGTAACAACGACCCCTCTGGGTGCTGCGTGTCTTTGTGCCTCTGAGAGTGTCCCCCTGCCCCCAGGAAGCCGGGAGAGGATCGCATGTGGGCTTGGGGCTTGGCAGTGATCGTGGCTTTGATCCTCTCTCTGGGGTTTTGAATAGACACAGAGACTTTGTGTCGGTGGCTCAGAGGGAGTCGGGATAAGGTTGTGCCCAAGACACCAGTATACTAGCAGAATTCTGACAAGACAACTGGGTTTGAATCCGGCTCTGCCACTTTGTAGCTGCAGGAATTCAAACCACTCACCTCTCTAAGACTCAGGTCAGTCCGCAGCACAGTGGGGACAACAGTACCCCCAGCCAGGGTTACTCTGGGGACTAAAGGGGGTCACGGGGTGCCAAACCCTATGCGTGGGACATGCAGTCCTTCAGAAGCATTGGGCCTTTTCTCCCATCACAACTGCACATTGAGGTCTGGTTACCCCTCACCACCCATGGGATCTTGGATAAGCAGAACCTCACTCCCTCCTCTACCGAATGCAGAAACCTAACGCTTGTCCTAGAATATCCTTGATGATTCACGTCAACTGCTAGTATACAGTAGGTGCTCGATAAATGTTAGCTTCCTTACCCCCTCCATTAGTATAGTAATAGTCTTAGTGGCAATTACATAATACTTCATGCTTCCTGAGAGTTGGCACTTTTCATTGATGCGTTCTTCTGAACCTCACAACTCGAAGTAGGTAATAGTCTTGACCGCATTTTATGAATAAGACACAGAGAGGCAATGTAACTTATACAGGGTCACCCAGCTGATGAGTGATGTTGCTGGGACTCAAACTCCAGCTTTCTGACTTCGGTGCCCAACATCTAACCTCTGAGCTAATACCAATACATCATGTATTATTACTATGTAGTATGGTAAGTAATATGCCAAGTGCTTTATAGTTATTAACTCATCTAATCCCCCCAACCACCATGTGAGGTAGGAACTCTTGTTACCCATATTTTACAGATGAGTAAACCGAGGCACAGAGAAGTTAGGTCATTTCCCCAGTGTCCCATAGCAGAGCCAGGGTCTGAGCCCGAGGAGTCTGGCTCTTCCCCGCTGCCTCCTTTAAATCTCATCACTGTCAGCAGTGCTCATGCCCATTTTGCAGAGGAGAGTTGAGGCTCAGGACATGCACGTGACCTGACCACGCCCTGACCAATCCCCTACAAGGAATCTTTAATTGAGCTGGGACTTGCACTCAGATCCATAAAAGCTCCCGGGACCATCCCTGAGCCCTTGGCCTGGTCCAGGTGAGCGGGCACCTGAGGCAAAGAGCCTCCTGCAGAGCCCAGAGGTCACCTGCCTCACAGGCCAGGACCTTGGCTGGGATGGAGACTCGGCTCTGAAATCTGGGTGCTGCTGTGGGGATGAGGTGTTCAGGCCTGAATCCAGGCTGAGTGGGCGGGGAGCGCCTTCTGTTTCCTGGGAAGGTGGGGGAGGAAGGACCGTGTGTCCAGGCAAGGAGACTCAGGGAATGTATTTCATGCAGCACCTGGGCCTGGCTTCTCCACAGCTCACATCTCCAGGGCCGCAGGTTGGCAGGCAAATGAGAGTTGCCAGGAGCCAAGTGACCCTCTTGCTGCCCGCCAGGAAGTCAGTCAGGCCCTTGGCATTTACCAGGCACCTCCTCCGGGTTCTTCATTCTGCAAAGGAGAGTGATTGGAACCCCCACTCCATGGGGACCCAGAAGCCCTGCCCACTTTACACGATAATCCGAAAAGTCTCTGTCCCTCCTCAAGATTCTAATGCCCAACTATCAACCCCCTGTGTCTTCTAGCAGAGTCCCACCAGTTAAACGTGGATCAAGTTTATTTTAGTTTTACATAAGCACCGACTACGTATCAACAGTCTCATAAATTCTGTACAAATAATCCTATATAATAAAGGCTAATATGTAAATCTCATCACTGTCAGCAGTGCTCATGCCCATTTTGCAGAGGAGAGTTGAGGCTCAGGACATGCACGTGACCTGACCACGCCCTGACCAATCCCCTACAAGGAATCTTTAATTGAGCTGGGACTTGCACTCAGATCCATAAAAGCTCCCGGGACCATCCCTGAGCCCTTGGCCTGGTCCAGGTGAGTGGGCACCTGAGGCAAAGAGCCTCCTGCAGAGCCCAGAGGTCACCTGCCTCACAGGCCAGGACCTTGGATGGGATGGAGACTCGGCTCTGAAATCTGGGTGCCGCTGTGGGGATGAGGTGTTCAGGCCTGAATCCAGGCTGAGTGGGCGGGGAGCGCCTTCTGTTTCCTGGGAAGGTGGGGGAGGAAGGACCGTGTGTCCAGGCAAGGAGACTCAGGGAATGTATTTCATGCAGCACCTGGGCCTGGCTTCTCCACAGCTCACATCTCCAGGGCCGCAGGTTGGCAGGCAAATGAGAGTTGCCAGGAGCCAAGTGACCCTCTTGCTGCCCGCCAGGAAGTCAGTCAGGCCCTTGGCATTTACCGGGCACCTCCTCCAGGTTCTTCATTCTGCAAAGGAGAGTGATAGGAACCCCCACTCCATGGGGACCCAGAGGCCCCGCCCACTTTACACGATAATCCAAAAAGTCTCTGTCCCTCCTCAAGATTCTAATGCCCAACTGTCAACCCCCTGTGTCTTCTAGCAGACTCCCACCAGTTAAACGTGGATCAAGTTTATTTTACTTTTACATAAGCATCGACTACGTATCAACAGTCTCATAAATTCTGTACAAATAATCCTATATAATAAAAGGCTAATATGCAAATTGTTGCCTAGACCGGGAGTTCCACTGGGAGTTTGACCAGGGGCAGGCAGGCCTGCCCACCACCCAGGGTCCCCCCACCCCCCAGGCTGGCCCAGCCCTCATTGGCCCTGATCGGGGCGGACCAGCCGGACCCTACTTGTGCACGAATTCATGCACCGGGCCTCTAGTAAGTTATATATCAATTCACTCCATCCTCTTAACCAGGGGTCCTCAAACTTTTTAGTCACCAGTTCACTGTCCCTCAGACCGTTGGAGGGTCAGACTATAGTTTAAAAAATAACTATGAATAAATTCCTATCCACACTGCACATATCTTATTTTGAAGTAAAAAAACAAAATGAGAACAAATACAATATTTGTATTTGCATGTGGCCCGCGGGCCATAGTTTGAGGACCCCTGCTCTCAACAAACCTGTCAGGTAGACACTATGATTATCCCATTTAATAGAGAAATTAAAGCACAGAGATATTGCGCATCTTGTTCAAGGGCTGCCATCCAGGAAGTGGTGCAGCTGTGGGTGTGGGTGGGCACTGGGTGGGCAGGTAGGGGTCTGGGGGTTGCTGGAAAGACAGCAAGGCTCTCAGAGAGTGTTGGGGTGCATTGAGCTCTAACAAGGAGCCAGAAACCATCACATGGCCTCACCCCCAAAGATAAGAGCAGCAGGGCTGTCCTGGTTACCTGACTGACCACCAGCCAGCACATGTACCCTTGGGCCTCCCAAGGCTTGGCCTGCCCCCACTGGGGTCCCACTGTACCCACCGTTAACCACGGCACTGTGTTTGACCAGGGTCTGGATTTGTTTTCTGAATGCAAGATTATAAATGTAAAATTGTAAATGCTTTAGAAAACAAGCGCTCAAAAACAGGCAAAACCTTGGTGACAGAGGTCAGAGGGGCTATCCTTGGAGGGAGCAGTGACGGGAGGAGCTGGAGGGGCCTCTGGGCGATGGGATGTTCTGAGTCTCCATCTGAGTGGGGTTACGTGGGGCCTTGCAGATATAAAAATCCTTACCGTGTCTGCATTTCCCTGTGTGTAAGTTATACCTCAAAGTTTCAGAAAGACCGGTGCCCTGTCCCCCTGGGGTTCAACCCCCCAACTTTGATGCCTGCCCCAGCCTGTCAGTTTCTTAAAGATGGTGTCAATGCTTTATCTTTGTCCTCAGGCCAGCCCAGGGCCTGGCTCCCATGAGGGCTGGGGGCATGCTGCTGAGTTCATTTGAAAGCTAGCATCCCAGTGATCAAAATCGCACCTGAAACGTGAAGAAGAAGTGCCAACCTGGGCAAGTAGACCAAGGCTGGCCACGAGGATAACCACTTATCTGTCATCTCTCCATCTACTGGCCCATTAAAATTACTCTCCCCGCTCACCCTATGCCCCTCCTGCTTTAGGCTATGGAGGCTGCTGCACACACAGTCCTCACCCTGTGGCCTTGGGCAAACGGCTTCACCTCTGCCTTGGTTTAGTCACCCGAGAAATGGGACAGTAGATGTCTGTACCCACAGGCTTCTCATGAAGGTTAAATAGAGTCTAATCAAGACTCTGTGCAACAGAGTGGGGCAGACAGCAGTCAACTCACACACACTTACACTCACACCCACACATACACATTCACACACCACACACACGTTCACACCCCCACACTCACACATTCACACCCACATGCTCATACATTCACACACAATCACACTCACACATTCACACCCACATGCTCATACATTCACACACAATCACACTCACACATTCACACCCACATGCTCATACATTCACACACAATCACACTCACACATTCACACCCACATGCTCATACATTCACACACAATCACACTCACACATTCACACCCACATGCTCATACATTCACACACAATCACACTCACACATTCACACCCACATTCTCACACACACATTCACACAATCACACTCACACACATACATACACACAATCACACACACTCACACTCACATACATACACACACACAATCACACTCACACACTCACACCCACATGCTCACACACACACAATCACACTCACACATTCATACCCACATGCTCACACACACACATTCATACAATCACACTCACACACATACATACACACAATCACACTCACACACTCACACCCACATGCTCACACACACACAATCACACTCACACATTCACACCCACACACAATCACACTCACACATTCATACCCACATGCTCACACACACACATTCATACAATCACACTCACACACATACATACACA